CCCCCAAATCAACCTATCTCACGTCGTCTCCTACCTTGGAATCAGTCTTTGCAGGTGCCCAAGAGAGAAGCCATCAATGACAGCGAAAGTTTCAACCCTACTTCGCCACCCCGAGAGATGCATGATGGATGTAATCCGTACAGCGGATGCCTTGCGTGTCAAACAGCGCGCAGGGACCGCTCGCACTTCTGCAGCAGGGCGACTACTCTCGCACTATAGGATGAACAAGAAGGTGATTTGTACATGTGCCTCTATTCGATCACCATGTAGCACGCGCGTTCACACCAGAACCGCGCCCCTAAGGTTTGGCCTCTGGTCTATATATTCTCGAAACACCTCTTCTCCGATTCCTGACTTAAGAGTTCTCTAATTCTATTGCTTTTCATTCATTTCTATCTCAACACCTAGGTGACACCTCGTTCATACAATATCACCATTTACGTTGCAACGTCTGTTGTTTTCCAAGCTGATACTCCACCATGGGGATCCTCACACGCACCGCTGGACTTCTGTCTCTGGTGGCTCTGCCGATTTACCTGGCCGTCGCCGCGCCCATTGGCAATCTGGATACCGAAGCAGCCGCATCCAAAAGAATCCTCGAGCTGCAAACTAGGTACCAGCAAAATGTGCTGGCTTCCATAAGCAACCGCACCTCTGGCTGCACAGCCCAGAACATCCAACACCGCCGGGAATGGTATGTACACGCTCATCCGTCCAACCTCTCCCAAGCATCAAGACCTGTCTGCTAACCCTGAGTAAGGAGCACCCTCCCCCCCGAGACGCGCGCCTCCTTCATCTCGGCCATCCACTGCCTCAACGAGCTACCGGCGCGAACTCCCTCGTCGGTGGCCCCCGGCGCACGCAAGCTCTACGACGACTTCATCGTGACCCACATCCAGCAGACGCCCTTCGTCCACGCGTCGGGCCTCTTCTTACCCTTTCACCGCCATCTGCTGCATCTCTTTTCCCTTGCCCTGCGCGACCCCCGCTGCGACGGCGGCGGCTACGACGGACCTCTGCCCTATTGGGACTGGACCGCCAGCTACACCGACCCGCGCGCTGCCGCCGTCTTTGACCCGGCCGACCCCTACTCGCTCGGCGGGAACGGGGAGTTCGTGCCCAACCGGAACGGCACGGTCATCGGCCTGCCGGGGGGGAGGAGCAAGACAATCCCCGCCGCGACAGGAGGCGGGTGCGTGCAGACGGGCCCCTTCCGCAAGGGAGCGTTTGAGGTGCGTCTCGGCCCCGTCGGCTACGAGCCACGCGGCCCTCAAGGGGGAATGGGATATAACCCGCGGTGTCTGACGAGGGACCTCAGTCCGGAGTTTAGCTACGGAACACGGCCAAGCGCCGTGATGGGGCTTATGGACGGGTGTGGCGGGGAGTTAGGGTGTTTTGTGGAAGAGATGGACGCCCCAGGGGGTGTGCCGGGCGGCGTGCACGCGTCCGGGCACTGGCAGGTTGGCCTCGACGCGCTCGACGTTTACGCCAGCCCTGCCGACCCTGTCTTCTGGCTGCACCACGCGCAGGTGGATCGTGTGTGGGCCATCTGGCAGGGACAGGACGTTTCTGGGAGGACGTATCAGGTCTGGGGCACAGAGACGTCTGGGAATGGTAAACTTAATCTTGTTGAAATATCAATGTGTTTTCGAGATGGTGATGCTGACCTGCTCCAGATCCGCCAAGTGACAATGTCACGCTCGAGACCGCCATGGACTTCGGGGTGCTCGGAGAGATGAGGACAATTGGGGATGTCTCGTCGACTGTTGATGGAGAGTACTGCTACTTGTATGAATGAGCATGATGAGATTGGGCTGGTATTACAGGCAATCATGAGAGGTTCGTCTAACAGTTTTCCGGACAAGTTTGAAGTCAGGTCCTTTGAAAGATTTGTATATATGATAGACGATTATACCTCAAGTCCTGACGTTGTCTGATGGAGGTCGTTCTACTGTCTCGAGCCCTCGTTCAAGATATAACCACACGTTATCCAGATTTTAGACCTTGGCCATTGGTTGGACCCCAAGTCCCTGAGGGGGTCTGCTCAAGCATATCAATTAACCAATCACAAGCTAAGTCTTCTAGCACGATAAAAAAGGTTTTTAAAGGGTTGATATTGTCGAGGTGTCTGGTGTATCAGTGAAACCCCCTTGCCATCATCCAGAGCATACTTCCTATAGACTTGAGGAGTAAACCATTCCGCGACTCCCACCAGCCCTTGTGAACCGCTCTTTTAGTGAACTCAACACCTGTACTACATAGAAAGGATGACTGAAAATCCCCGGTTAAGGCCGCTCTGGAGCGATCTTCAACAGATACTCTCGTGCCGTTGAACTGAATGTGCGGAGGCGAGGTACGCTGCCTACGTGGGATGGAAGGCTTCGTCAACGTAGAAACGACTGACCGACACGTACGAGTCAATCAGAATATATAAGACATTGCATACGATAGCTGTTGTTAGGGATAGTGTGCTTGCAATCTACCACAATGGAATAAGTACATCTCAGACTGGATACATTCCGAGGTGTGACTCGAGTCTAGTCCTCGCCGGCCTCCGCGTTCCTTGTGGGCGCCGCAGGCGCGGCAGCTCCCCCAAAGCCAGGCTGGTATGCCGTAGGAAACCCGCCCGGGAAGAGCTGGTCAAGCCCCGGGATTTTGGGGTTGGTCGTGACCATTTCGTTGCCCTGTTCGAACCGCATGGCGGCGGCCATGATGTCGCGGGTAAAGGACGTGTTGACACCGAAGCTGAACCAGGCAAAGATTCCATCAGTCAAGCTGTCCCCAAGCAGCACGTATTGAAAAAAGGGGTCGCTCGTGGCGGCCTCCTGCAGCAGAATAGCGTCGTCGGCGTTGCGCATCAGGTTCTGCCTGTTGGTCGAGTACGGCGGGAGCTGCTTCACGGCGTCAACGACGTCCTGGTCGAAGAAGACCTGTCCTGCGTGAGTGACGCGCGAGTCCCAGATGGTGTTGTTGGCTCGAGCCGTGGCGTTGAAGTGGCTGACAACGTGGATATGCGGGGCCCGTCCTTCGTAGTGGCCCGGGAAGAGGGTACGGAACTGGACGGCACCATCCTCGTCTGTCTGCTGGGCGCCCCGGAGAAAGTTCCGCTCGAGGTTGGCTACGTCCGACATGCCGATGCCGTTGACGACGGCGAGTGCGCCCGAGTATACGCCGGTCGAGTTCGCGTCTGTAAGGACCCGAGTTAGTACCAGCAAATGTCCAAAGTGGTGATCAAGGGCAGAGAGGACTTACTCCACATCTCAATGAAGGCGCCCTCGATTGGCTCGCACGTCTCGACATCGATGAGTTGAAAATCGAGATAGAGCGGGACACCCTGCTGAGTCTCGACAAGGTCCGTTCGAATATCCTGGCCCAGAACGTCTAGAGATCCGCCAATGAGTAATCTCACGGTGCTGTAAACCTGCTTCTTGCTAACTTACAAAACGGTCCTTCTGTCGTCTCTGGGTTGAGGACGCAGGCATTATGCCCGGAAAATACCTCCTTCGGATCGGTGGATGCATTGTATGGCTTGCCTGACTTGTGGGACTCTCCAAGGGATGACGTTTGTCGAGCTGCCAGATGTCAGTGTTACTCACAGGGAAGAAAAGGTTGATTTCCATTCGACAGTCGAGGTATGTGTGAACAACCATGCAAATCCATTACGAACCTTTTACGGCAGGAGAT